ACTTTTTAAACAAAATAAAAGCTTTGACTATCATTTAGGGTGAATAAGGTTGACACATAAAAACTAGCAAATTTCTGTGTGCTATAGCTAGAATTGATACCATTGTAAGTAGCTAATCCTATCTAATAAAAGACAAAAAGGGTAATTGACCATACCTTTGCTATGCTTCCCATAGGATAATCAGGGCAATATGCAAATTAACTGCCAGCAAAGATGGCGGTTAATTTGCATACATAGGCACCAAGTGACAGAGGGAAGCTGGCTGGCCCCGATGAGCGAAGAGCAAAGAGAGGGCCCCGCGTGTGCGTATGGAGCCGGGGCTTAGCTAAGGCTTAGTGCATACTCTCCAGTGGCCCCGCAGCAGGGCATCCTGGCAGCCTCCAGACAGGCGGGCAGTGGGGAGAGCCGAGTAGGGCAGGGGCTGCAGGGAGCCAAGTTCCCAGGGGTCTGAGGAGAGTGCTTGACAGGAGTCCAGACTGCAAAGAAAGAAGAGGAAGCGGCCACGGGGAGCTCTTCCAATCCCCCTGCAGGACACCCTACCACAGCCCCGCAACCCTAGGGGCACGGGGAGGCTGACCAGACAGGGAGAAGACCCAGCCTTGGGGGTAGCTGCAGCCCATATCTCTGACTCCCAATCTCTTCCCCTGCCACCCCCAGCAGGGGTGCCCACAACAATAGCACGCCTGTGACAACCTGTCAGTGCCCCCGAGGCACCCGAGGCCCTTGGCCTGCCACTGCTGGGCCCCTTCGCTGGGTCCAGGCACGCCTCTCCTCCCTACAACTCCAGACCCAGGTGGAGGAAGGCCTAAGCGGCCCCTCATGGTCAGACTCATACCCCCCCCCAACACCCCCTCCCTGACAGCAGTGGCGCCATCTCCACAGCAGAAGTGCACTGAACCTTGCCAGGGGTGCGGCTAAACCTCCCCTCCTAGCCCGCCTGGCCCCACCCTGGCCCAGCCCCTGCCCTGAGCACATACAGCTGCGAAAAGGCCACCACCGCTGACCACGGCTACAGGGCTCTAGCCAGAGCCCGCCCCTCTGAGGCCTGTGGAACCCTCTGCAAAGCTTCCATAGCTACAGTCCCGGGAAACAATCATGCCCTCCTCCCCTAATCAGCACCTGCTACCTGCGAGCGTACCTGTGGGCTTAAAGATAACAATTCCTTCCCGTTTAGACGTCACTTACTTGATGAAACATTTCTAGGTTTATTAGCTCAGAACCTCCCCATGACAACCCAGGTAGGTAGGCGGAGAAGAGATTACAATTCCCATGGTATATGTGTATGCAGAAATGAAGCTCAGAGAGGAAAAGTGTCAAGCCCAGTGGTTCCCAAGGTGCAGCACACGCCCCATGGGGGGGAGGGGCAATTTGATTTGAAGTGGGGACAATTCCAGAATGAGTTAATAGTGAATTTTTTGCATTTCTTATGGTTCAAAAGGGCCTCATCTACAGCGTATCCTATATAATGAAAGGCTAATATGTAAATGACCAAATGGTGGAATTACCGGTCACTATGCTGTGCGCTGACCACCAGGGGACAGACATTCAACGCAGGCGCTGCACTATGCTGGTCAGTGTGCTCCCACAGTGGGAAAGCCGCTCAGCCAGAAGCCAAACTCACAGCAGCAGTGGTGGGAGCCTCTCCCGCCTC